GAGAAATACTTGCAAAGTTAGGAAATACGGTATCTAAGGAAGGAATTCTGGGGAGTCCAAAAACAAAGGATTGCATGCTGGTAGAGAACCCAGCAAACAAAACAAAAATAGATCAGTACAGATGAGAACCAAGTGAGAAGGGTAACTTGGAAGTGAAGAGAAGAGAGAATTTCAGCAAGGGTTGGCTCGCTGCCATTGCCTCTTCTGAGCAAAGTTCTTTGTGTCAGGCCACTCCTGAGTCAACAACTGGCCAATAAAGAGGCAGTCCTAGGGTAAGGTCCTCACTCTGATCCCATCAGTGGTTACTCTTCCGCAAAGTTCAGCCCAGTTCATCACCTTTTGCAGAGGATTGAGAGAGTGGCAGTTTCAGCTGGTAATGGACATTGATCTTGGAGAGCTGAAGTGAAGAAATATAAAGGATAGAAGGAAGGGAAGTTGCAGGTGGAAATTGGAGCACCAGAGTCAAAGTTATCAAAGAATAGGTAGTTCCAAGGTCCAGAGTGTAATCATAAGAGTGAGGTACAAAAATGAAGTAGGAGGGATTATCATTGGAATATTAAAGTTAGTTTTCTCTGGATCTCCCTGGTCAAATTATGAGCTCTTACAAAACACTAAACTTTCCATTTCTCTATTATCTATAACACCTGGCATATAGTAGGCACACAATAAATAAAGAAAGAATGGATAGGCCTTTAAGCTGGCTACTGGGGATACACCAATCAGAAGAAACATAGTACTAATGGATTATACAGTCTTATGGAGGAAGAGGCAGATATTAACCAAATAATCAGACAAACGCATCTAAAATTACAAATGGCAAAATATGTACTGAAGTTAACAGTGCACCATGATAATGTGTCATAAAAGAATCTGGCCTTGTCTGGGGAGAGAAGGAACCAACCACTGAGAAGTGATGGCTGAGTGAGAGCTGAAGGACATGTAGTGGTTAGCCAGCAGAAGAAATGGGAGAAGAGTGGGCCAAAGAGAGAGAGCAGCATGTACAAAGGTAAAGGTGTCCAGCATGCAGAGACCAGGAGTAAGAGTTCTTGGAAAGGATCTTGGAGGGGGAGGCAGGGGACAATAGAGGGAGAGAGGGATGAGAATGTCTGCAACAGTCACACTCCATCTTCTTGGCTAGCAGACCCCCAATTTTGTTCAGATGGCAAGGGAAATTATCATGATTGGTCCAAGCCAATGAAATCTTATCTCCTCTTGGCCAATGACTGGACATCTTGAGGTAACAGCTGACCAATCCAATCAGATGTAAGAGAAAGTCTTATCCAGGCCTTGGAGGAGAAATTTTCCTTTCTGAAGTGAAAGGCACATATGGAGAATGCTCATTTTCCCCCAACACTTCCCTGCTGCTTGGGATGGTGTGTTGTGGAAACACAACACTTATGGCAGCCAACTTATGACCATATGGAAAAGGCCAAGAAAATCAGAGCTATAACCTCAGTTCTAACATGACTGAGTCATCAAAATAAGTCTGGAAATGCTTCACTCCAGATTTCTTGCATGATGTATGATAAATAAATTATAAGCCACTATTGTTGAGTGTGTGTGTGTGTTTTTTTTTTAGAGCCAAAAGCAATCTATAACTATAGAGCAATTTCCAAAATCAATCATGGAAGAGAATCATATAAAACTATACAAAATGCTTTATATCATCAGTTCCTTTCTCTTTACAAACATCAGATGATTCAGACCATTACCAAACAGATGACAGAAAATAGATCTTGGTCTGATGCCATTTTAACATAATCTAAAAGGTACGCTTGTTATTACTGTTTTCTGTGTACAGCTTTCTCTTTGCTTTCCTTGAATTCTTTGTTCCAGAGAAGAGGTATAGTAAGGATGCTTTGAAGTGATGTGATTGATGTCACTCTTTTACTGGTGTCACTGACAAGGACACATTTGCTATCCACACACAGCATGCAGCGTGGAGTAAAACGGCCTGCACACTGATAAGTCCTTGACTTTGATTCAAGGGCATAATCATAATCAGAGATGAATGGGTACTTAGAGCTCTTTGGGGAAGGACAGTAATGGGATTATGAGGCCCAAATATCTGGCAGCCTATGCAATGTTGCACGGTCAGAGTAGGCTAAGACCTGAGGCCAACATATCTCAGCCCAGGACTCACATAGTGTAGTATATGAAAGAGCACACACAGGCTTCAGCGTCAAGACAGACCAGTCTGATTTCTGTGGGTCACTTACTAGCTGCATGATCCTTACCTAGTTATTTAATCTCTCTAAATCTCAATTTCCTCCTTTAAAATTAGGAATAATATTTATCCTGCAACAAGGTGAAATTAAATGAGATATTCCATGTAAAACAAAAATCCTCAGTAAGTAGTAGGTATTGTCATGCCATAAAAACTGTTCAGTTGTGTTTTAGTTAAGAGGCAGCAGAACTGAAGAGCATCTTCATGTCAGAGAAGCACAATTAACAAAATCATAGAATAACTTATCTGATCTTCCAGATGAACAGGTGATTCCTTATTGCAACAGGTATTTGATAGCTTGTTTACAGGTCATTGGAGACAACTTTTAAAAAACCTATGCTTGTGTTTTATAGGTATGTTTGTCACAAGTTTAGTATTTGGTATTTGTGCCAATTTTTGTTTGCTTTTCAGTTTTTATTTTATGGGTTCATCTACAGTACAAATAGCTTTATTAGGCTTCTTCCTCCATTATTATTGGAAATAACATTCCTCTATTATTGGAAAAATAATACAAAAAAAGCCTAGAGTAGAGTAGGTTGGATGGATGGGCAGGTGGACGGAAAGACAGATGAACAGGTTGCTGATGGAAAGCCCATCTGTCTAACTGTTTCATAGGTATTCTTTCCAAAGGAACACAAGTCTTCCAGTAACTTTCCCTCTTCCTCTTTTTGGTTAGGTCTCTATATTATAACAATGGGCTGTCTGTGACTTTATAGTTTCCAAGTAAGTGGAAATTAGCACAAGCTTTTTATGAACCACTTAGAGCTACAACTAGTATCTGATTAAAGATCTCATGTAAAGATACTAAGACTATTTCCAGAATTGTCAAAAACTGGCCTTAAAAAAATACAAGAAATACTGTTAGGTCATTCTTTTTCTTGTTTTAAAGAAATACCTGAGACTTGGTAATTTATAGAGAAAAGAGGTTTAATTGTCCCATGGTTCTGCAAGCTGTATGGAGGCATGGCACCAGCATCCGCTCAGCTTCTGGAGAGGCCTCAGGAAGCTTTCTTTTACTCGTGGTGGAAGGAGAGGTGGGAGTAGGCATGTCACATGGTGAGAGTGGGAGCAATAGAGTTGGGGGAAACGCCACACATTCTTTTTTTTGAGATGGGGTCTCACTCTGTTATCCAGGCTAGAGTGCAGTGGCACAATCTTGGCTGACTGCAACCTCTGCCTTTCGGATTCAAGTGATTCTTCTGCCTCAGCCTCCTGAGTAGCTGGGACTATAGGCACCCACCAAAATGCCTGGCTAATTTTCGTATTTTTAGTAGAGATGGGGTTTCACCATATTGGCCAGGCTGGTCTTGAACTCCAACTCCTGAACTTATGGTTCACCTGCCTCAGCCTCCCAAAGTACTGGGATTATAGGCATGAGCCCTGGCACCTGGCCAGTGCCACACATTTTTAAACAAAGACCTCACTACCACTCACTCACTATCTCAAGAACAGAACCAAGCCATGAGGGATCCACCCTCAAGACCCAACATCTCCAGCCACACCCCACCTCCATCACTGGGGATTACATCTCAACATGAGATTTGTAGAGGGCATCCAAACTATATCAAATATAAGGAATTGCTTTTCCTAAATCAAGCAAAATTGGTTGTTGGAAATAGATGCTCAGTGCTGCAAAGAAAAATTAGCACTGAGACAAAGGATCTTTCAGCAACACAATTTTTACTTCCTGGATGGAAAGAAAGGTACCCTTGCTAGCCATCTTGTCACAAGAGTACAATGAACAAAGGAAAACACACAAATGTATTCCTTATGCATTTGGGATTGTCCTTACTGCTGTGTCTGATCTCTGTTGGCTGGAGCCAGACCTCACAGTCTAAACTAAAACCTGATTGGCTAATAACTTAAAACTTTTCTAAACAGGTAAAAGCAATGGAGAGCTCGGACATGCCTGTGAGCACATCCAGCACAGACATCTTGGTTAAACTACAAGGACATAGAATATAGTATATGCCTATAAGCATGGCATGTCTAACAGCTACATGGAATAGGGCTTAACAAAGGGTTATTTGCACACTTATTCTTTAACAAGAAAGGAAACTTTAAAAAGGAACTTTTTTACTTCCCACAATGGTCCTGTGCAGGCTCATTCTTTAACAGGAAAGGAAACTTTAAAAAGGAACTTTTCAAATTCCACATTGGTCCTGTGCGGGAAGCAACAATATATAATAATTTCTGCATGCCTGAAGTCCAGCCAGGTTTGCTAAATGAAGGAACCAATAACACCTACCCTCCATAGAATGCAAAAGAGAAAACAAAGAAATAACCTCCGTTTAATGCTAACTGTGGATAAAGCACTGTGCTAGACGTTTTTAATATGTCAAATTTTACTTAACTTAAAAAAAAATCCCGTGACGTTACTGTTATCTGTCCCATTTTCAGATGAGGAAACAGACTCAGAAAACTCAAGTTAACTTGCCAAGACCACACAAGGGATCCATGGCAGAGCTGATTTGAGCCCAGCTACCCTCATGAGGATAAAGATTAAAATGATGTACCTTTACTCCTAAAGGTAGTAGGCCAGGATAAAATTTATTATCACTTCTTTCTCTTCCCTAAAAATGTGTCATATGATGAAAATATACCTAAGACCCTTTGGTGGCTGGATACAACTCAGCAGGTATAAGAATGACCATTTGCTCATTTGCCATTGGGAGGCTGTGTATGGGAATGCACCTAGCGCCACCCTGCTGATAACACCCTGTTTTGGCTGAATGAGCAACTCTTCCTGGAAAACATTGGCATGTTCTCTAACAAGCCTGTTAGAGAAGCCAGGCTTTTATTTCCTTATGTGGTACAAAGGAACCCTTTATACCCTTCCCAGGAAGATACTGGTTAAGATATGGCTGAGGGAGGCAAAGGGATTGTTTTCAATGGTAGTCACTGCAGAAGGTCAAGGGTAGGCTGGCGTTGTTCTCAATAAGGGTTATTGTGATCATGGTCCAAAGTCTGGTAGGAGTTGTTTTTTCTTTGTTTTTTTTTTTTAAATTTGTTTGCTTTCATTTTTTTGGTGCTAGACAGCTGGGACACCAAGGGCAGTTCTGTGGCAAGCCACAAGAATCAAGGCCCAGAACTCCCCCTGAGGGCACAGCTTCCATTTCAATTTCTGGCAGGAAGGAAATCTGCTCAAGGATAGTCGTTTGAGTATTTCCTGGTGGTTCAAATTTCAAGCAGAGCTTGTGTTCAAAACTCACCCAGGCACCAAGGCTCAGAGTCAGCAGGAGTGAGTTCAGGAATCCTCGGGACAAGGCACTTTCCTGAGCACTGGACCAGTGACTTCTTGGTTTCCAGTAAGTACTGCTTGGTGTATCTGGTTTTGACTCCCAAGGCTGGGGTGATCTAGAAGCTTTTTTGCAATTGAGTAACTGCAAAATTGAAAATGGAAGATTTTGTAGATATCCAGTATTCCTCTTACGGGCTCTTTCTTCATAAGCTTCCTAGACTATAGTGTAGTCAAAGGGAAAGAAGACTGACCTCCTGGTATCCTGTATTCACTAAATCCCGGATAATGTTAGAATGAACAGGTTAGGCAGTGATTATGGGGAGATTCTCCTGAAGGAGATCAAACAGCTAAATCAGAAAAGTTTTCTTTTTTGTTTGGGGGCAACAACAAGCAATGGAAGCAGAACTAGGAAAACAATCCATTCTACTTTCTTAGACTGAAGGAAGTGCGAAGTGGTGAAGACCAGCTCTGAAGTGAGAATTCTGGTTCTGCTTCTTTTTAATTACGTGATCAAAGTCAAGGTATTTCATCTCATCTGTAAATGGGCACTGTATCCTTGTAAAAACAGTACAAGCTTTAGGGCATGGTTATGAGGGTCTGATGAGATTTTATATGTATATGTGAAATTATTATATGTATACATGAAATCTTTCATATATATATTGCTTAGATGTGCCTGGAATGTATTAAGTACTCAAAAAATGCTACCCATTATTAAACAATGTCAGAATCATAGACTATCTGAGCTGGAAATAACCTAACTGGTATTTACTTTATTCTATTTATTTGTATATATATTTTGAGACGGAGTCTTGCTCTGTTGCCCAGGCTGGAGTGCAGTGGAGCGATCTTGGCTCACTGCAACCTCCACCTCCTGGTTTCAAGCGATTCTCCTGCCTCAGCCTCCTGAGTAGCAGGGATTACAGGCGTGTACCACCACACCTGGCTAGTTTTTGTATTTTTAGTCAAGACAGGGTTTTACCATGTTGGTCAGGCTGGTCTCAAACTGCTGGCCTCATGATCTGCCTACCTTGGCCTCCCTTAGTGCTGGGATTACAAGCATGAGCCACTTTGGCCTTAACAACTAGCATTTATTGAGCTTCTATTATGTACTGAGGAGCGCTCATCTACAGGGTATCTCAAGTGATGCTCTCAGCAATCTGATGAGGGTGGTAATATTACCATCTACATGTTACAGATGAAGAAATGGAGGCATAGAGAAGTATTCTTAAGTATCCGAGATCACATTCCTCATGATTCATGGAGATGAAATTTAAACCCAGATGCCAGAGCTAACACTATTAACCACCACACCCTAATGCCTTGTCTGTCCTCTCATTTTATGGTGGGTGGAGAGATAAAGGAGGAGCAGTCTCAACACATGACTTTGGAGTCCTTCACAGACACTGGAAGGACAGAGAAGTCCTCCAAAGCACACTGACATCCACAGGGCACAGGAAATGCAAATGTCCTTTGGGAATGTCCATGAGCATTAATGCAGTGCTGTGTGGAGTTCTGCCAGGGGACATAGGTCCAAGGCACCTCAGTGTTCTCTCAAATGCAGTTTTTCATTTGTAAAGTGAGCTATCTCATAATAAGTCCATTGTGAGATGCAAAAAGAAAAATAATGTATGTAACTGCATTTTATAAACTTTAAAGGCTTTAGAAATATTTTATATTTAAAAATGATTTTTTTTTGGCTTTTTGACAAAGAGCAACTCAAAAACAGCTTGCAGAAAACACACTGCTTTAAAATAAGTCACCCACAGCTAATCTCTCCTGCACAGTTCTCCAACTGGATCACTAAGTGACTCACTTAGGCTAACAGCTGCATACGGGGTGTGGCCAAGTCTCATAAACATGGACAGAGGGAAAGGTAATGGGCTGAAAACCACTTGTCCCCAGCTCTTCAGGTAGGGAAATCCTTGAAACTGGAAAGAACCTCATGGATTTGATACAAAATCTCAGGGATAATTTTTTAAATATTGCCCATGCCTTTTTGGGAGTGGGAAAGGTTTTAAAGAGGTTACGTTCTCTTTCTCATGCAGAATTGCTCTTCCAGGAAACAACAGCCTCTGGTCTCAATCACTTGGCATCTTTGCCAGTCATTACAGCTCCTTGCCCAGAGCTGAGTGTGCCTGCTATACCAGGCGAGAGCTAAGGGCACCAGCTCTTCAACATACAACTTCAGATGCCCCAGAAAAGTTGTAATTTATTCAAATTATCACTACTATGATTATACAGGATACCTCAAGGGAGAAAACATTTCCCTAGGGGCAGGGTAGATATGATTCCAGGGCCCAGGAAAGCCATCCCACTGGTCTTCAAAGAGCTCCCAAATGCTCTGACAAACCACCAAAAGCATATTTTGAGAACTTGCCTTAATCTCGGGATTTCCATCTCTTAATATATGTATTACATATATCTATTTTTTATTTTAAGTTGAGACAGAGTCTTGCTCTATCGCCCAGGCTGGAGTTCAGAGGTGTGATCTCGGCTCATTGCAACCTCTACCTTTTGGGTTCAAGTGAACTCCTGCCTCAGCCTCCCAAGTAAATGGGATTACAGGTGCCTGCCACCATGCCCACTATTTTTTGTATTTTTAGTAGAGACAGGATTTCACCATGTTGGACAGGCTGATCTCAAACTGATGACTTCAAGCAATCCACCCGCCTCGGCCTCCCAAAGTGCTGGGATTACAGGCATGAGCCACCGCACCCAGCCTGAATGTATATTTTTTCATGTCTGCATATTCATATACGCACTTAATTAAAGAATTGCTATAAGCCATGTACATGTTAGGAAGAATGAATGAGTTTATGTGAAGAAAGAGAGAGGTCAGGAGGGTCAAGCATCTCTGCCTCCTCCCCATCTTATCTGGGGCTGCTTGGGCACCTCCCTTTTTAAGGTTTTCTAATTTGTTAGTCTTACTAACTTTAGGTAAAAGTCACCAACAAATTCCTGGTTTCAAAGATGACCTCACTTGCCCTGCAGCCCTTCCCCTGAGGGAGTTCCTTCTCTCCATCCCATCACGGTCATAGGATCCAGCAGCTGGCCAGGAAAGGACATTGCCTCTCAGATTCAGTTTCTGCAGGTTAGCCTCAGCCCCCAGAGTCAAGCAGCCTTGAGGAGGGGCCACTCAGATGGCTGAGGCAATTGAAGAGGTGGCCTGGTCCTTGTTCTTAAGTTTCCCCTGCAGAAAGTGAGGCCCTGGCATGGAGAAGGTCTTATCTTGGGCTACCTCTCAGCCAGTGATGCTTTCTCAGCTGCGCTGTCTCCATGGCATCCTGTCCTCTGCCCTGTTCTTACTTCTCCTTGGTGTTGCCATCCCCCGGCTCTCTTATCAAAGCCACTTATGAAGCAAGAACAGAGAAAGTCCAAGGGAGACAGCTTCTTCAGTCATCTTGACAACACCTCCGCAGAACCACCCACTGTGTGAGGACAAGCTGCTTGGATGAGTCCTGGTTACCATGGCTACCGTCAGCCTCAGGGACAGGGAGGGAAATACTAAAGAAAGAATGGAAAGGGGAGACTCATAACCTGTCTCAGCAACATCCGTGAGCACAATCCCAGTACTCATGGACTCAGTGGCTAGTCAATGAAACACACATACTGTTGTTTGGGGACTAACACTAACCCTTCCTTTTGACAGGCAAGGACACACAGCCATCATGGAACCCAAACCTCAGAAAAGTCCAGGTACTCGAGGGGTATCATCTCAGAAGCAGAAGTCTTTTTATTTTCACAGTTCCCTTCAAGCTAACCAGGATACAGAACTTTGTGGTTTTGTGTGCATGTTTTGTGTGCACAGTTCCCTTCAAGCTAACCAGGATACAGAACTTGGTGTTTTGTGTGAGTCTTGTTCTGTGGCCTAGGCTGGAGTATAATGGTGCGATCTCAGCTCGCTGCAACCTCCCGGGCTCGAGCATTCCTCTAACCCGCAGCCTCCTGAGTAGCTGGCACTATAGGCATACACCACCACACCTGCCAAATTTTTGTATTTTTAGTGGAGATGCGGTTTCTCCGTGTTCGCCAGGCTGGTCTCAAACTCCTTGGCCTAAAGTGATCCACCCTTCTCAGCCTCCCAAAGTGCTGCAATTACAGATGTGAGCCACCACACCCAGCCCCAGAACTTGGTTTTAGTGGGGATAATGGGTGACATTCTGTGACAATGATTCTTGGTTTGGAGAGTGTAGCAGGAACTTTTGGATTCAGTTAATTATTATATAAGAGTTCACCTGTGTAGAAGTTTAGCATTTTCTGATTCTCATGAGCCCAATTTTCCATCCATTGCCAAAGATGATGTTAATAGCAAACTATGGACCAGGAAAGACTCAAAAATATGTTCTTAATTTTACATGAAACTCTCACTTCAAGAAGCTGCCTGCATTGTCACCAGGGCTTATTATGAGGGAAGCTCAATGTATGGTATTCAAATATCCTTGCTCATATTCATACAATTCTTTGTAGGTGAGCAGATAGAAAAGCTGAGTTTAGGATGAAGTCACTTAGAAGATAAATTATCCAAATTCAACTCAAAAATATTTACAAAGCACCTATTACTAGTAAGTCTCTGTGCTTTATGTACCAGGGGATATACAGATTAATAAATAAGAGTCATTGCCCTCAAAGAGTTTTGAAATCTTATCAGTAGGAGGTGAGATGGGCAGATAACTTGAGGTCAGGAGTTCGAGACCAGCCTAGCCAACATGGTGAAACCTGGTCTCTACTAAAAATACACCAGGGCTTATTATGAGGGCTTTTATTTAAAAATAAAAATTCATTGGGTGTGGTGGTGTGCCCCTGTAATCCCGGCAAATCAAGAGACTGAGGCAGGAGAATTGCTTGAACCCAGGAGGCAGAGGTTGCACTGAGCCAAGATTGCACCATTGCAATCCAGCCTGGGCAACAGAGTGAGACTCTTGTCTCAAAAAAATAAAATAAAATCTTGTTGGGAACTTAAACATATGCAAGTCGCTGTGCTGGGAAATTAAGATTAGGCTGTGATGGAAATCATGAAATGAAAGTACAGATGTTATGGAGTCTGAAGAAGAAAAACATATAAGTAATAATGAGAATCCAGAGAAGTTTTATAGGGAAGGCATTTGAGCTAGACCCTATAGGAGAAGTAGGGATTTAAAAGAAATCAGAAAAGAGGGCACAACCCAGCAGAAGGAATGGCATGGCCAACGCAATGAAATGGTGTAGAAGCAGACTGTGTCAGAGTAGAATATACTTACAAGGTAGGACAAGGGGAAAGAGGATGAGGCCGCAGAAAGGTGGCGCCATATTGTGTCGGACCTTGGCCGTATATGACAGGTAACTGTTGAAGCCTTTTGAGTATGAAAGTGGCGTGGTCAGATTTGCATTTTAGACTGGTCATATTTTTAATATCTTTACTAAAGTTTATTATAATTGGCCTACAATAAACTGTTTATGTCTAAAGTATATAATTTGTTCAAGTTTTGATATGAGACACATACAGGCATACCTCAGAGATGTTTCAAGTTCACTTCCATGTCACTACAATCAAGCAAATACCACAATAAAGTTAGTCACATGAATTTATTGGATTCCATAAAAGTTACGTGTACACTACACTGCAGTCGAGTGTGTAATGCCATTATGTCTATGGAAACAATGTGCCTACCTTAATTAAAGATATTTCATTGCCAAAATTTGCTCACAATCATCTGAGCCTTCAGTGAGTCATGATCTTTTTGCTGGCAGAAGGTCTTGCCTCGGTGTTGATGGCTGCTGAATAATCAGGTTATGGCTAAGACAACAATGAAGTTGACCACATAGTTTGATTTTATTTTCATGAAAAATTTCTCTGTAGCAAGGGATGCTGTTTGATAACATTTTACCCACACTGGAACTTCTTTCAAAACTGGAATCAATCCTCTCAAACCCTGACACTGATTTATCAACTGTGTTTACCTAATATTTTAAATCCTTTATTGTGATTTCAAAAATAAACACAGCATGTTCACTAGCTGTAGATTCCATCTCAAGAAACACTTTCTTTTCATATCCCATAAGAAGCAGCTCCTTATCTGTTGAAATGAGATCAGAAGATTGCAGCAATTCAGTCACAGCTTCAGAGTTCACTCCTAATTCTAGTTCTCTTGTTATTTTCACCGTATCTGCAGTTACTTCCTCCACTGAAGGAATTTTTGAACCCCTCAAAGTCATTGAAGAGTATTGGAATCCACTTCTTCCAGACTCCCGTTCATGTTGTTATTTTGACCTACACCTAGGTGTCATGAATATTTCTAACAGCATCTAGAATGGTGAATCCTTTCCAGAAGGTTTTCAATTAACTTTGCCCAGAGCCATCAGAGGAATCACTGTCTATAACAGCTATAGCCTTATGAAATGCATTTCTTAAATAATAAGATTTAAGTTGAAATCCTTCCTTGATTCATGGGCTACTGAAGAGGTGTTGTGTTAGCAGGCATGTGAACTGCACCAGTCTCCTTGTACATCTTCATCAGAGCTCTTGGGTGACCAGGTGTATTGTCAATGACCAGTAATATTTTGAAAGGAATCTTCTTTTTTCTAAATCATAGGTCTCTGCAATGGGCTTAGAAATATTCAGTAAACCATGTTATAAACAGATATGCTGTCATCCAGGCTTTGTTGTTTTATTGATAGAGCACGAGGAGAGTAGATTTAGTATCATTCTTCAGGGTCTTAGGAATTCTTTTTTTTTTTTTTTTTTTCTTTTCTCAAGACAAGAGTCTTGTTCTGTTGCCCAGGCTGGAGTGCAGTGGCGCAATCTCGGCTCACTGCAACCTCCACCTCCTGGATTCAAGCCATTCTCCTGCCTCAGCCTCCCAAGTAGCTGGGACTACAGCCTGGCACCACCATGCCCAGCTAATTTTTGTATTTTTGCAGACAGGGTTTCTCCATGTTCACCAAGCTGGTCTCAAATTCCTGACCTCAGGAGATCCACCCGCCCCAGCCTCCCAAAGTGCTGGGATTAGTTGTGAGCCACCATGCCCTTAAATATATTGTTTTACTTTTTCTTGTTTGCATTTTTTTTTCTGATGAGAAATCAATATCACTGTTTCTTGTCTTTGTTCTGTATGCAATAGGTCTTTTCTTCCTCTGGCTGCTTTTAAGATTTTTTTCTTTATCATTGGTTTTGAACAATTCAGTTATGACATGCGTTGATGTACTTTTCTTTGGGTGTCTTGTGCTAGGCTTCATTAAACTATTGGATTTCTGTGATTATAGTTTTAGGTTTGTAAAATTTTCAGCATTGTTACTTCGAATATTTTTTATTTCTTACTCTCTCACTTCAGGGACTCCTATTACTTGTATACTAGGCTACTTGAAATTGTCCACAGTGTACTGGTGCTCTTTTTGAGTTTTCCAATTATTTTCTCACTGTTTATGTTGGTAGCTACCATTGCCATGCCTGTAAGTACGCGAATCTTCCCTTCTACAACATTTAATCTGCTCCTACTACCATCCAGGCTTCTTATTGTTTTTCTGAGACATTATAATTTTCATCTCTAAAATTTCACTTTGGATCTTCCATCTTTTATCTCTCTCCCTAAATTCTTAAAAATACAGTGATAATAACTGTTTTACTTACTTTCTCTGCCAATTCTAACGTCTGTGTCAGTTCTCGGCCTGTTTTGATTGATTGACTTTTCTCCTCATTATTGATCATGTTTCCCTTCCTCTTTGTATGCCTGGTAATCTTGACTGATTGCCAAACACCACAAATTTTACCTTGTTGGGTCCTGAATATCTCTGTATTCCTATGAATCTTGAGCTTTGTTCTGGGATGCAGTTAAATTTTTTGGAAACCACTTTCTTCTAAGTCCTTTATGATTTGTTAGGTGAGTTTAGAGCAGTGCTCAGTGCAGAGCTAATAATTAGTGTAGAGCTAATTATTCCTCACACTGAGGCAAGACATTCCTGAGAACTCTATCAATGCCCTGTAAATTATAAGTGTTTCTAGTCTGGCTGGAGGTAACAGGCACTTTTTCTGAACCTCTGATCTTTTTTAATGGTTCTTTCTCTGGCCTCAGTAGTTTCAGCACACACGTGTTAATAGGCACTCTTGAATACTTGAGGGAGACAGTAGATGTTGCCCTTTGGCTTAGCAGACAAAAGTAAACCCACTCACTATGGAAAATGGAGTGGCAGAAGTGATTAAATAAAGAAGTTTCTAAAATGTTAACTGCTTTCCTGTAAGTGATGAAATTACAGGCAGTTTTAATTGTTTCTCTGTTTTCTAAAATGTCTACAATAAATATGTATTACATTCATTATTTAGAAAAACACAATTAGTGTTGTTAAACACGATACTGTTATTTTTGTTTTCTTCATTTAGGGTTTGTTTTTGTTTTAGTTTGGATGTGCTTTCACATACAGACTGTAGGTTCAAATTTGTCCTTAGTTTTGGAAAGGGCAACCTTTACTAAAAAATTAGAGCTTCTTTATTAAGTGAAAACAGAGTCAGGATTTGGCAATACACCTGCTGGGGCTTTTAGGATAGTATCCAGTAAATCTGGGGAGGTGACTGTGTTTACCTTCCCTCCCTTCCCAACTTCTACAGCAACTCCACCTGCTCCCCTTCCCCAAACAGATTTTGTCACAACATTTTAAATAGCAGTGCTTTTGCTTTTGTTTGCTAGGCCAAAGTGCAATGCAGAATTATCATGCCTCTGCAATGGAAATAGAGCCTAATTTTGCTCACACGTAGAGAGCCAAAGACATACTCTAGAAACAGAAAGCCAGACAGGTATGAGCCAAATTAACATGCTTTCAAATGTTGTTTGAATAAAGGTCTTGGCTGTGGAGAAGTAAGAATCAGACATTTGGTCCTTCGTTTTCTTGGGTTATTAGAACTGTTCTTTTCCATAACTACTGAATAATCTGAAGGCCTTTCCAGAGATGAATAGTGTTTTCCAATTGAGGCAGTTCTTCTCAGAAATTTATGAGGAACAAACTGAGTTCTGTTCACTTTTGTTAGGCAAACAATTTACATTTTATTATGAAAATGAAGTCTGCAAACAAGATTACTTTATTAAATCACCACCTTCTCAGCTGTTCTTCTCTGTGGTAAGTATTTGCTATGATTAGCAAGCCTCCCACCAGCCTCATGAGCATTTTTAAAAATCCCTTCTTTTCCTCTGAGATATAACTGAGACATAAAATCTTTTTATTTTTCAGACCTCTTGGAAAAAGCGGTTTTTTGTCCTGTCAAAGAGTGGGGAAAAGAGCTTTAGTCTTTCCTACTATAAAGACCATCATCAGCGAGGTGCCATTGAAATTGATCAGTGTGTATCGAAGCAAGAAAACTTTTATAACAACAAATACTATAAAGTCAAACAGTGACAAGTTGCAGGCAAATTGAAATTTACGTAATTGACCAAAGGAACCAAAGACTGCAAGCTTATTATATTTGTGATTGAATAGAAGCTAAAATAGCACTTTGAGTGAAAGATAGTTGAGTATGTTTCATAATGTATGTTATACTTGGTAAGTCTTTATTAGCATTCAGTTAAGGAGTTTGATTCATGTAATTTGTGGACGAGAGGGAGTAGATGAAATTATCCTTTTATAAAGTCAAGATAGATTTTTCAAAAATATTTAGATCAGCTTTTTTTGGCCTTCTCTTTAATAAATATGTACCCCAAAATTGAAAAATATGATTCGTGCAATAAAGAATTCAATCAACATAGAAATTTTTGAATCTTAGGCTAAACAAAATAATTTTAATTATTGATTAACCAGATCAAAAATCGAAACTTACCTTCTACAATTATTGGGCAATCTTCAAAACGTGGATCAAGTACATGTAAAGTTTTCTTCCATTTGAATCCCAATATAAAAGTGTCAGTTTTCTATTTCGGTATTTATCTTTGTTTAATACTTTGTGTCTGATAGAAATTCGAGTGTAGAAGTTGGCATAAGTAGCCAGGAAAAGATGCAATCTGTGCAGAAGATGTTTAAATGCCACCCTGACGAGGTCATGTCCATCAGAACCACTACCAGGGAATATTTCCTCATCGGCCATGACAGGTGAGAGAAGTAAGATAACACAGAGTGTCTACTGCATGCAAAACAAATACAAGCCAAAAGAAAAACATTTTATCCCAATGAACATGTTCTGAACTCATGCTACAGCCTTGAACACCATCTTGGCAATCTTCGTTATTTGTTAAAATATCTTGAAAAGTTACTGAGCTAGTTTCCTAGAGCTGCTGTAACCACAACCTGGATAACTTGGAACAACAGAAATGTATTGTCTCATTGTTCTAGGGACGAGGAGTCTGAAATCAAAGTATTGGTAGAGCCATGCTCTCTCTGAAGACACTAGGGAAGGATCTGTTCCAGGGGTCTCTCCTAACTCTCGGTAGTTCCCTTGGCTTGTGTGCCTAGCACTGTGTCCAAATTTCCCCTTTTTATAAGAACACCAGTAACATTGGATTCGGAGCACACTCTATACCAGGACGTCCTCGTCTTGACTAATTACAACTGCAATGACCCTCTTTCCAAATAAGGTCACATTCTGAGGTATTGGGATATGGAATTGAAACACACAAACTGGGTGGGGAGGATGCATTTCAACCAATAACGATCACCATCACCCCAGAAGCATCCCATGTAAAAGAACCCAATACACAAATATCTACACAAGCAAGCTACATATATTAGGGAGGAACTAGGCTTGCCCTCTAAGCAGCATGCAGTTTTTAAGAGGGGCTTCTGGTCCTAGCAAAGGTGCCTAGTGGACTCTTCATGGATGATTATCTGCTTGGGGGAGAGGCAAAGCTGGTGTCGGGGACACTGTGCAGAGGAGGGGGACAATGCCAAAGCCAACATATGAAAACCCTGATCTGCTTCAGATTGAACAAAGCTTTATGTTGTCCTGTGAGCCCATAAAGAAAATGTGACTCTACAAATTCATTCAAGCACATTCTTCATCAATGCATGTGCTCCTTAAGGGAAGGCACACCTGCACAGTTACACAAAAATGGCACTGACAGGTTAGGGGGCTTGCTTGAGAATACAGAGAAAATCAGTGTCAAAGCTGAAAGCCCCAAACCCTGTGATTACTACCATTATTTTCTACTTTTCTTCCCTTTCTCTGAGCTTTCCTTGCAGAGGTGGCTGAGCATTAATTTTAGTGTGCAAATGTGCAGGTGGCGAGGCCATTTAAGCTACTTAAGAAAAATCCTTATTTTGCTGGTACCTGCCTTCACTGCCATTCTAACCTTCATAAAAGAATCCTTCTCTGGTTCAAAAGGAGTACAGGCACTATTGTTGCCACATGCCAGCTGAAAGTTTATTTCTATCAACAGGGAGAAGATTAAAGACTGGGTCTCCATCATGTCATCATTTTGCCGGAATATAAAAGCAACACATCAGAACACAGAGGTGAGTCCACATCACTAGTAAAATAACAGGGCAACTGAACACAACCCTCTTTCAACAGAAAACAATAGTAGCTTTCTTTTGCCTCCTTAGCCACTGGCATTAATGCAAGGAATAAATAAGTGAGAAAATGTACATCCTTATAACTTTTAATGATTAACAATAGGGAAAAGATTCTTTTGTGTTTTGCGAGAGAGCTGAAATACAGACACTTCAGATTTTTATTATTTTGGTAGAGGAAGGAAAAGTTAACTGTAGCATTTTTAAGTAGTAGCTTAGAATGTCGTATTTTTGCATCATTGTTATTCAAAGTGCATAACAAGCTTCCTTCTGAATGACTAAGTCTAGGGCAGTTTCTATAAAATGTTTTTCATCTATCTTGCATTTTTAATAGAATGTCTCTTTCATGTGACTGCTTAGTAGTTTTAAGGTTTTAATTTATTTCATAAGGGCCTCTACTAATGTCCCTAAGTTCTTTCTCAGGGCGGACCTTTATAGAAGGAACTTTGGCCTCTTGGTATCTCCTGTGACATGTTTTCTAGGTTGTTCCACACTTACAGCAAAAGCCAGGAGAAGGAGAAATCAAGGCATGTCTTCAAGTAGATGGAAATGATTAGAGCAAAGGGAACTGGGGCAGAGGGTGTCAGAAAGAGACAATTGAGAAGATAGGTTGAGGACAATGCTGATCATCTTTGAAGGTCGGGCTAAATGTCCTCAAGGGTTTGGAGACAGGAGAGAGTCAAGTTCGGCTCTCATCTTTGCGAGATAATGCTGGCAGGCCAGCGGCAGGAATGTTAGATCGCTGTGGGGAAAGACGGGAGGCAAGGAGCCCATTTCTGGAGTAAAAATGCCATTTCATTCCAGACAGAGATCAACTGTGCCCTGACTGATTCCTTTTCTGTGAGCAGGAGGAACTCTCACCGGGTAATAAAAGAACTCTCTTCTACCCCAGCCCTCTCCTTGGCCTTTCCAGCACAACAGAGGCTGTTGGCTCCAGCTCACCAAGAAACGGTCTCCAAGACATGGTAATGGGGCTCACTTCTTTCTCAGGACACCACACCTGGGAGTCAGCTAAGGCTTCAGAATCTTACCAATTAGCAATTGCATTTAACCATGCCCACCTTCCTCAAAGCCTGATGCACTATAAGAATGATTCTTAGCCCTGATGTTTATCCCATATCACAGATGAACCTCATGGCTTGCCCTGAATACCTCTCAGTGTACTCATCCATTTTGGATGCTCTTTATATGCTTTGGGTAGGGCTAGGGTAAGATCCCTTTGCTAAACCAAAACCTGGCTGGCAACTTCTTCCTTTCTTTCACACAGAGGGCACAGATCCCTCTGCCAAAAGATTTCCCGACCACCATGTGATTTCTGCCCATTCTGTCTGTACTCCTCAGGCAAAGGCTGAGTTTCTTGTTAATTTCTTCCCTTTACCCTGATCAGTCTTCAATCTTGCTTCTCATTCATTATAGCTGTCTATCACTTCATCCTCATTTCTAATGAAATCCATTTGAGGACATAAAATATAATGTACCTGCCTCTTGAAAGTGACTCAAAATTGGACCCTCAGCTTTCTTGGATTTGTAATGTTCTCAGCTTGGGATATGAGTCATAAACATGCCGAGTGGTTTCATCTCTGTCGTGGTTACTATTTTGTTCCTTAGAGACTTAGCCATTGACTTTGCCCTGTCCATGTATTACCAAGCTCACCTAATGAGTCCCTTCCCCTTATTTTATCTAGTTGGTAACTCTCCAACTATTTTGAAAGCTTTTCATAGCATATCAAATTCACCATGCCAAACACCTCCCCTCAGTTCTTCCTTTAGCAGAAATGGTGGTAAGCAGCAATTAGGAAGCCTCACCCTTTTCAGTATGTACCTGTTGCTTTCCACTCATGATATCTCCTTCCCCCTAGAGATAACATTATTGGTCATTTTGCCTTTTCACACTATAGATCCAGTGATTTTTAAACCAGCGTGAGTTGAGAGTACTATTTGCCTTGCTGGGTGGTGGTGCTGCTGTTGGTTAAATTAAGTGGGGAATCTTCCTTTACCCCCAGCTCACCATGATCTGGCTCCATGAGCTTGGAGCTTAAAACTTGGACAGAACTTAAACATACCTAATTTTTTGAAATTTGCCTTCTTTCTAGAGAACATTCAGGGTCTTTTCCAAACTCCCTCTCTGAGGCATTGTTCTTGGAATTTTTCTGCCATGCAAAGAAGGTACTTTAGTAGAATATTATATATCTATGAAGAAGGGAAGGCAATAGTGGTTGAATCTAGATCATCTGGAAGCCTATAATTCATACTATCACATGATCAACACAGCCAAATTACATTGCTATGGAAATGATGGAAGTGTGTGAGCAGAACACAAAAGAAAAATATGGAGCAGGAGAGAAGTCACAACGCCGTGACTCTGGGTTAACTACATACTCAGATGGCATTGGATGATCACAGGAAAAAGATGAGGATGGGGACTCCAGAGTTTAGTGACTTAGAAAATCAGCCACAGGAGGAAACCACTTGTTCTGAGTGACTGTTCCGAATGGTAGAGAAAAAAGCCTGAGTGACGAGCTTATATTTTTTTCATCCTCAGTGGTGACCCAGACTCAAGAGGCAAGTTCAAGTTGTGTGAGCTTTCAGATATAACCCTGGAAGACCCTCTGGTCTTTTGTAACCCAATTAATTGATTATGTCTTTTCCAGAATGCGATTTAATTCCATCTCTTGCAAAGAAAAAGCAAAGCATTTTTGTCTCTTTTCTTCAGCATTTAATGGAAACGAGTTCTCCAGGACTTAGGCAAGCTCATCTGCAAGATTTGTCATCAGAAACCACTCAAGATATGGAGGAAGAGAGTCATTATCTTACTCCTCGAAGTGTTCTTTTAGAGGTAACCCCTTCTTGTCCATTCATCATTTGTTCCTTTAACAAATATTTACTGAACCCCTGCCATGCACTTTTTGCGCAACACTAGGCGAGGGTCAGTGGGAACACAGAGGTAAATCAAATACAGACGATGAGCTCATGGTGCTGACACTTGACTAGGATCCAGTGGTAATACAAGAGAGAAGGGTTCTATGCTGAAGAGAGATGCTTCTAAAATACCAGAGGTGCACTAGTGTTGGGAAGAAGAGATGACTTTCAAACAAAAAATCAGGAAAATTTCAGGGATGAGATGACATTTGACTATACTTTATTAGTACAATTTGGATGTGGGGGATTGATTTGAGGAGTCTTTCTGATCTGCATTCTTAGCAGAAAGAATAATGTGAGCCAAGGTCCTTGGGTGATCAGTTGTGTGCTGTGTATCGATCAGTCTACTGATCAGCTGGAAGCCCTTATTGAATGCCTCCTGAGCAGTAGTCACTGTACTGTACAGGCCACGGTGGCTAAACTAACGCACATGACATCACCTTGCCTTCACAGAGCACACGGTCTTGTCAGTTATCACAGGATAATTCTGCACAAAAGACATGGTCAACATGCTCCAAAAACAACAGAAAATGGACAGATTTTTTTTTTTCTCTCTACCAGAGTCAAGGAAGGCTTCCGGGATGACATGTCATTTGATGTGTGTATGGGGAATAGTTCGGTGGGCTAGAGTGCATGGAAGGCATCGTGGGAGATAAACAGAAGAAAAGAGCTGGCCCATGATGGGTCTTGAATGCCAAGCTGACTTCATTCTGTAGTCAGCCTAGGGGAAGCGATGGCTGCTGACTGGGAAGTGTCAAAACCTGAATTATCCTCCATTACTATAATATACTATAACCCAGCAGCTATATCTGCCGTGGGCTGCAGAGAGAAGAGAATGGAAGTGGGAGATAAGAAGACAGAATGGAGGGTGGGAATGCTGCATCATTTCCCAAACTGGGCGTTTTCTGTAAGATGGTGACATATGTTTATATAAAAGAAACATTCTGGGTCAAATAAGTTCTGGAAACACCCAGTTAAAATAAATTAAATAAACTTCTTAGCAGAATTCCCAGAGCACTTAGTATGCAGTGGTGCATTGTAAATGGTCAAGTCAGATACAACACATGGCATTTCCCAATCTCATTTGAGCACAGAGTTCTTCTTTCACCAAAATATTTTCATGTTTGTGCTTCCTGGGATGCAGTCTTTTATGGTAGTCAACCAATCAGATGTGTATTAAGCAGCTGTTATAGGCCTGGCATTTGCTAGGTACTTTATGATAGGCAAAGTCTAGTAAAGCAGACAAAACTAAGCTAAAAAGACCAGAAAAAAGGTACAAAATTATACAATGGAACTTGAGAGAAAGGAGGGCTCTGCAGTAGCTGAGGTGATCAGAGGGGGCTGTGGGACTCCAGCCAGGCCTGGACGCGATTTCAATAGGCAGAAAGGAAAGCTGGCACTCTAGGTGAGGAAGACAGCATGAACATGGGGATGGAAGAACACCACTTGCAGGGGGCCAGTGGGAAGACTGGCTTGACTGAAAGGAAGGTTTCGATCATGGATAACGATGAACTTAGTTAGGCCTTAGGGTTTTCGAGCAATCATTGCCACAAGTGACTCTCTTGTTCTAAGAGGGCTATTGAGAACCTCCTAAATGCAGTATATTTCTAGACCACTGTAGTGTCCCTGAAGCCACTTGGGCTGCCTGTGAGCAGAGTAGCCTGAGACCAGCTTCACACTGTGTCAAAGTCTTTGACCCAACCAAGTGCCATAATTCTATAGTAGAACTGACTGGGGGAAAGCTTTCATGTTCTTAAGTGCCTAATGGTGACATAAAAAGGTAAATAGCAATTTAGTTCCATAGAAACAACACTTGTGTTGGGAGCTTAAGGGATCCAGGAGAAGAAATTGACTTTGAGTCTGCCAGAAGCTTTGCTGATTCAGTCTCGTGGAGGTAAGGTTGGTTGATATTTCCCAAATGAGAACCATGTTCATCCACTGGAAGGTGTACCTACGTCAGAGATCAGAGCTATAAACACTAGAAATAAGAAGGCACCTGACTTATTGGTAAAATAGGATTCTTACATGTACTCCTCTTATCTACAGTTGGATAATGTCATTGCTTCCAGTGATTCTGGTGAATCCATTGAAACTGATGGTCCAGACCAGGTCTCTGGAAGAATCGAGGGTCATTATGTGTCAATGAAATCCTGGTAAGTAAAAGTGCCATTTAAAAATTTAATTTTTTTCATCTGCTGTTATGGGACAATGACTATCAGTTCATTTTAATAGTTGATAAACTGATGCAAAACATGACCACAGACCAGATTCCACATGTCATTCAGTCATCTCAACACAAAAAAATGAGGGAGTCATTTCTGCACCTGCCGAAAACCACTGGTAACATCCTCAGGACCTTTTCCATCTCCCGAGGAAGTTATTTTCTACTTTGTGTTTATGTCTCTCACACTCTCACTTCTGTCCTTCAAACCCTGTAAAGAGTAATTTTGATTCCATATCCATTTTTAGAAGGAAGGTTTGTTGGATTTGATTCTAACTGTGGCTGTGATTCTGATAGTTGGACACACTTCAAGACCTTGTTAGTCTTCACATGTCTGTTAGTTACTTAAATCTGACACACACAGGGGAACACTGCAGAAACACATGCTAAAATAGGGTTTGTTTTAACTTCTTATACTCTATAGTTTTTTCAAAGAGACATCCCATGAGTCTATGGATAGCAGCAAAGAGGAACCCCAGACCGTTCCAGAGACCCAGGATGGGGGCCTCCACCTGCAAGAACAAGGCTCAGGAATTGATTCGTGTCTTTTTCCTGCCGATACGGAAGCACAGAGCACAAATGACAAAAAGGGGTCGGCCTCACTAACTGTTGTGCAATTGTCTATACTGATCAAGTAAAGCTCTAATTTCTAAAACTTTGTGGGCCCTAAGAGCAAGGCAGGCTCCCTCTCACTATTTTTTACTTACAATTAAAATTTTAAAGCAGTTCCTAAAAATCTCCAAGTCAGCCAAGAACCTGACCATCTTCTCCCTGTCACTGATATTGTGGCCAAGGAGAGGGAATGATAGAGCTGGAGTAAAGCGGTCCCTGGGGGCTGGGGTGGCATTTTCAGCTATTTATAAAATTAACCCTTGGCTAGTCTTTCAGGTCCCAGGACTTGGGATCCATGTGGAACTGAGTAGTCTGTCACTCAGGTTTTACATGAGTATAATTACGGGGATGTAAGGTGCATGGGGCTTAGTTATAGACCAGGAGTGGGTTATTTAGGATTTTAGTGATACCGAGAGCATTTGGTACAATAGTTGTAATTTTAACTCTTTGCCATAACTTCTTCTACGGAATCATTTCCAGACTGGCCTGATGTGGACAGTTATATAACCAACTGAGTCCATTTTTGCCTCCATTCCTGTAACCTACCATCCACTACCACATCCCAAGAGGATTTTTCAGTAAATTTATATTATTCTCCAAATGTTTTGGACAGCCTTTACCTGGACAATATCATCTCAGAAATAGAGGTCACAAGTGTACTCAGAAAATATAGCTGAGAGCCAGGGCCAGGTGCCTGATGTGACTTTAACAAATGTCTTGTTCGTAGTAACATCCCTGATGAAAGCCAAGTGGAGAAACTGAACGTTTTCCTTTCTCCTCCTGATGTCATAAACTATCTTGCTCTCACAGAAGCCGCAGGACGGATATGGTAGGTTGGAGATTTGACTGTTGTGGATTATAAATGGGGCTGGAAGCTTTAAAAAGAACAATTACATTTTGAAACACTGTATTCGGCAACACTAACTGTTGTCTTGCTGTTGTTACAAAAAAAGTCTTAGACTGTAGCAGAAATCAGGGTGTTGTGTTTTTTGTTTTTTGTTTTTTTTGAGGCGGACTTTCACTCTTGTTACCCAGGCTGGAGTGCAATGGCGCGATCTCGGCTCACCACAACCTCCACCTCCTGGGTTCAGGCAATTCTCCTGCCTCAGCCTCCTGAGTAGCTGGGATTACAGGCATGTGCCACCATGCCCAGCTAATTTTTTGTATTTTTAGTAGAGACAGCGTTTCACCATGTTGACCAGGATGGTCTCGATCTCTTGACCTCGTGATCCACCGGCCTCGGCCTCCCAAAGTGCTGGGATTACAGGCTTGAGCCACCACGCCCGGCCAGTATTGTGTAAGAAACTCAGCTGAGGGGTGAGGGAGAGGAATAACAGGACCCAAAATTCAGGAAGCAACACGTTTCTGACTTCTTAAAGGGAGGAAGAATGGGCAGGGATACATAGGGCCCAAGGACATCATTTTCAATCACAGTACAATGAGCATTTGATGAATGAGTGAAATTAGCAAAGTCAACAAGAATCAAAGGTCTAGGCTGGGCTAATTCCAGCACTTTGGGAGGCTGAGGCGGGGAGATCACCAGGTCAGGAGACTGAGACCATCCTGGCCAACATGGTGAAACCCCGTCTCTACCAAAATTAAAAAAAAAAAAATTAGCTGGGTGTGGTGGTGCGCACCTGTAATCCCAGCTACTCGGGAAGCTGACGCAAGAGAATCTCTTGAACCCTGCAAGCCAGGATGGCACCACTGCACTCCAGCCTGGGCAAGAGAGTAAGACTGTCTCAAAAAACAAAAGAATCAAAGGTCTGTAAGAAGAAAGCATATCAGGTTCTAAGACTTCCAGACACAAGTCAAAAAAAAAAAAACTGCTACTCACAGACACAGACACAAAGACTGTGTGGCAGAGAGTTTTCTTAATCACTGCCTATTTGATATGGCATTTTTTTTACAGACTTTGTAATTTATTTTGATGGAAATTACATCTTTATAAGGGAAGAAAGCTCTTTAATGTAAACACTACACATTAATTGTCTTATAAGTTCTAAGAAGAGAGGAATCACACCTTCCATTTTTCCAAATATTCCACAGTCTAAGGCTCAATAAACACTTGACCGAAACTGTGGACTCCTCTGTAACTGCATTGCTTCATTCTGTAATTCATTTATTTGTTCATTAGATATTCATTGTGTAATCATTATGTCCTCACTTTCAACAAATGCTGAGCACTCTTTCTTTACCTGGAACCACGGGGTTTTAAAAATTAAAATATGAAAAAACAAAAAGGTGTCTTCATACTTCTGGGGTCATGTAGCCTGGTGAAAAAAGACAGCCACACAAACAAGTCAATGTAAAATGCATTTTATTGAAAAATGTAACAAATCAGGTACTCACAAAATGTAATAGAAGTCCAGGGGTAGGGGAGATGAATTATAGCAGAGGAATGGAATCCAGGACTTTATGGGGCTTTGAAAGGGCGATGTAATTTGAGCTGGGCTTTGGAGGAAGGGTTAGGCTCCTATACTAGTAACAGGAAACCATATTCCAAACAGAAGGAGATAGTCTGCTTCAGAGGTGGTGCCACATGACCTAGAGTCAGGAGACCCTGTAGACTCCATGCATGCCCTGCCTTCCTTGCAAGCTCAGCCTCATGCTGGTGTTGGATGTTGTATTCCCACTGCAGTGTGGTTCAGTGGGAAGGCCCCCCACGTCTGGGATGCATATTTTGCCACGGAGATCATCTTTTGGCGGTGAATGGCCTGAAGCCCCAGAGCCTGGAGGAGGTCTCCTTGTTTCTCACCCGGTCCATCCAGAAGGAGGTAAGTTGTACTGACCAGCCCTAAACAGGGCAAATCAGTACCAGATGGAACAAGATCAAGGTCTTAGACTGAGTCTGAAAACTACTCTGAATACAAATAAGGCTCCCCCTTCTTCCACCACCAAGTGCCAATAACAGAATGCTCCTTCTGGACTCTTAGGATTCTTTCATATCAAGTAGCATTTGGAGAAGGCACTGGGCTAAGAGACAGAGCACCTGGGTTCAGTACCTCAGATCAGCATGAGGTAGCAAAAAGAGCTTGCATGGAATCAGACTGGTGCAAGGGTTCCAAACCAGCTCCTTCAACCAATTTGTGTGGTTTCCTTTTCTGCAAAATTATGGCTAATGATGGTGCTGGTTGTGGGATAATTAAATGAGATCATATGTGTAACGTGCTTACAAAGGTGACTGGCACATATTAGGTGCTTAATCAAGTTACTAGTTACTTTTACTTCTACTACAACTAACCATGGAATATTATACAAGCCCATTTTTTAAAGCCTCAATTTCCTCATCTCAGAAATTGTCATAGTCCTAACTTCCTCATAGAGTATTGCAAGAATTAAACATACTGTGTGGTGCTGGCATGGTGGCTCACACTTGCAATCCCAGCACTTCAGAAGGCCAAGGCAGGAGGATCACTTGAGCCCAGGAGTTCAGGGTTACAGTGAGCTATGGTTGCACCACTGCACTCCAGCCTGGAAGACAGAGCGAAACCCTGTCTCAAAGAAAAACAACAACAAACAAACCATAATATATAGGTATGCACTGAGCATGTTATGTTTTTTCAAGGACTAGCTATTGTCCTGAATATCTACAGTCTTGATGATGTTAATTCCTTCCCTGGTCTACTTTTATTTCTAACTAGCCCTATGACCTTAGGAAATTCACTGCCTTCTCTGGGCTTCAGCTTATTCTCACTAAACTAAAAGGCTGGTTTTCAAACTGTGCTTCTTGCATTCCTGGGATGGAGGTGAAAGGAGAGGAGAGGAAGGAGAGAATATGCTGGGTCTTCAACTGGAGAAGCTCACATTTATCCCTTTTTTTTTTTTTTTTTTTTTTTTTGAGACAGAGTTTTGCTGTTGTTACCCAGACTGGAGTGCAACAGCGTGATCTCGGCTCACCGCAACCTCCACCTTCTGGGTTCAAGCAGTTCTCCTGCCTCAGCCTCCCGAGTAGCGGGGACTACAGGCACACACCACCATGCCCAGCTAATTTTTGTATTTTTTTAGTAGAGACGGGGTTTCACCTTGTTGACCAGGATGGTCTCAATCTCTTGACCTTGTGATCCACCCACTTCGGCCTCCCAACGTGCTGGGATTATAGGCGTGAGCCACCGCGCCGGGCCTCATTTATCTTTTAGGAAAAAAGATTAGTCCAATCTTTCCTGTAAGCTTTCCTTAAGAAACAGCTCCTTGGCTTCAAATTTCTGAAAACCATTGTATTAGATGATTTCTAAATTTCTTCCAGCTCTGGGAAGTTTTTGATTATGTAGCATAGCTATGTTAAGAATATGTCTTATCTCTCCTGCACTACGTAATAATCCCTTTAGTCATACATATTGTGCTATCCCTATTACTCATTACCCTAAATGAGTAATCCCAGTGAGGATGAGTGAGTTGTTGAAGATACACAACTAGTTAGTGGCAGAGCAAGCACACATTCATTCACTTTCTATTTACTGAGCATCTACTGGGTGCTGGATACTGTGCTAAATTTAAGAGCTACAAAAACGGCCTCAGCCTGAGTTTAAGAAGCTCACAGAAAAGTGGATGAAGCAGGCATGTTACATGCTACTTACAATACTGTGTGTGCCCTGAGATATGAACACAGGACCACAGGATCACAGAGGTAGAATGGAGTAAACCTATATGAAGGAGGTCAGGATGGTGTCTCAAAGAAAGTCATGTTTGGCTTGGGTTTTGAAGACTGGATGGGAGTTTGCATGGTGGAAAAGAAGTGGATTTCAGGGCCACAGTCCAACAATCTGGTAACTATAGTACATTTTCTCTGCCGAAGATCCACACGGGGGCCAAGTGGTCAATAGAAGTTTCTGAACTTTTCTGAAAATTACCAAACACTACTCTGACCCAAAGATCCAGGCATTAATTCAGAAGCCAAGAAAAGAGTTCTTGCCTGCGAGCAGATCCAGGAGCTGTGCCTGGGTGTTGCTGACTGCAGTTTATCCTGACTGCCTGTCTAGACCTTGGACTCATTGCATGGGAAGGGGGCAACTGCATTTCTCTTGTGCTCGTTCTGCCTCCCCTTTCTAATTGATAACAGCCCCTAGATGCTACAGAGAAATATTCAGTATCCATCTTCATGGTTATCTGAAAGATCAGAAAATTCCCTTACTTCCCACTGCCACCATTCCTGACTTATCTGTGTTCAGGAATACCCACTGCTCTTTTAAAATTCAAACACATGGTCCCTGGAAGGAAGAAGAATATTGGAAAAGGGAGATGTGGAACCAAAGAGAGAACAGCCATGGGCCCTCAATGTTTGAAAGTGCCCAAGCCAATCCATTTACTCTCCTCCCTGTTATGCTACAGATGAGGGAATTGGAGGTTGGGGTGGTAACAGGGCAGGGACAGGGAGGGGAGAGATTTTAAAAGGAAGGGGAGAAGGTGTGTGCAGGGGAAGGACCTGATAGGTGGAGAAACTGATCAAGTTTCCATTTTCTCCCAATCTCTTCTGGGTGAGTCCCGTCTGGTGGTTTCATTTTGATTCACTTGTTTCAAGAAGCCTTTTTAATTCTTGGTGCCCTTGGGCCCCTTAGAGCACCGTCAGTGCTCCCTGGATGCTTCCTTAAAAGTTCAGGCCCATAGACACCAGAAAATAAAGATCCACGTTCCACCCAAGTATCCACGTCAGTCACCCCTGTCTTTTTCTGGCCCAGGTATTACAGTTCACCACAGGACTTTCTTCAAAACCAGCTCCAAAGGGTATGAATGAGAACAGATTGGGAAGCAACAATCTTAAAGCTAATCTTGAGTCGTTTAACTTTCTTTTTTCTTGTGTTTTAGAAAGTAAAGCTTACTATCGGCAGGATCCCAAATTCAGAGAAATTCCATGCTGTATCCTGCACATGTCCCTTAAAATGCCAAAGTGCTGCACCTTCTCAACTGGATAAGCCTGGAGTGGAGAGAGCACCAAAGAGGAGTCCCGCCATTAAAAAGAACCAGCAGAAGGGAGCCGGGGAGTAACATGCCCCAGAGTGGCAGAACAGGATGGAGCCGGGACTGTCTGACTCCGCTACTCACTGCTGCCTGTAATAGGAGATGGTCTGCACGCCCCTCAGAATTTCTGCTTCTGCATCTTAACCATGGGGGTGACCACTCCTCTCTGGCTATTGCATCAGAGATGTTGAGAGGGTCACATGGATGCTTGGAGAACCCGGGGGAAATGGAAGCCCTTATTATCTCAGCTATTGTCCCAAACACCACAGACAGATTGGGCCAGTCCCTCATGTAATACATGCTGTATTCTGTGAGGATGTGGTCCACATAATTCCTTCTTTGTTAAGGGATATACAGTTCCCAAGGCAAGATTCCCAAGGGAGATATGATACCTGATCAGGCTTCCCAAACACCTGCCTCTCATCAACCCCACAGGCCAGAGTGCTGAGACAGAGTGGCCTTTTGGATTCAAAAAGTATCTCTTGTTCTCATAAAGACTCAGCAACTATTTTAGAGTGGCAGCAGTTTGGGTCATATGCAGCCAATATCAGCTTGCTCTACAAGCAATAACAGAGCTACTTAGCACGTCAAGGTTGAAAGTTCTTTACTCATGGATGCATTGACTAATTGATCCTGGAAGGGCAAAGGAATAAAATTTTTTTTTTTTTTTTTTTTTTTTGAGACAGAGCCTCACTCTGTCACCCAGGCTAGAGTGCAGTGGCAAGATCTCAGCTTACTGCAACCTCTGCCGCCGGGGTTCAAGCGATTCTCCTGCCTCAGCCTCCTGAGTAGCTGGGATTACAGGCACCTGCCACCACACCTGCCTAACTTTTGTAGTTTTAGTAGAGATGGGGTTTCACCGTCTTGGCCAGGCTGGTCTTGAACTCCTGATCTCGTTATCCACCTTCCTCAGCCTCCCAAAGAGCTGGGATTACAGGCGTGAGCCACCCCACCAGGCCCAGCCAATAAAATTCTTTTTTACAAATAGGAAAACAAAGGCAGAGAGCTAAATCACTAATCAAATCAGGGAGTGACAGAGCAAAAGCAGCTTCAGAAAGCATATTTTACCAAGCTGTTGTTTCATGTGGAAGGAACTAAGGCCTGGGGTGGTGAAAGGGGTACCTTCTTTGATTCTCCAGGTCTCGTAACCATTCAGCTACAGAACCAAGAATCTAAAACCAGCTCTGGGAAACAAACATCCTGATGCCAGCCTTGTCTTTGGGCTTGGATTTGAAAATACCTTCAGCACTCAGAAGAGACATTCAAATACATTTCATTTCTGTTAGAAAGATTGTTGGGAAAGTATTAAAAAATTTTTTCATTTACATGTTGGTATGGCTTGGATCTGCGTCCTTTCCAAACCCCATGTTGAGTTGTAGGCCCCAGTGTTTGAGGCGGGGCCTGGTGGGAGGTGTTGGATCATGGGATTGTGGGGGTGGATTTCTCATGAATGATTTAGCATCATCCTCTTGGTGCTATTCTCGTGACAGTGAGTAAGTTCTCGTGAGATCTGGTTGTTTAAAAGTGTGCAGCACCTCCTCCCTCAGTCTCTTCCTTCTGCTCCTGCCATGTAAGACACCTGCTCCTTCTGCCACAAGTAAAAGCTTCCTGAGGCCTCCCCAGAAGCAGATGATGCCATGCTTCCTGTACAGCCTGCAGAACTGTGAGCCAATTAAACCTCTTTTCTTATAAAGTACTCAGTTTTGGGTATTTCTTTATTTAATGTGAGAATGAATTCATACGCATCCCATTTTGGATCTACTGTTTCTACTTCGATAAATTTATCCTACAGAAATACACAAAGATAGATGTAAAAAAAAAAAAGTTCACTGCAGCATTGTTTGTAATAATAAAAAATCAGGCTGGGCACTGTGGCTCACACCTGTAATCCCAGCACCTCAAGAGGCCAAGGTAGGTGGATCACCTGAGGTTGGGAGTTTGAGACCAGCCTGACCAATATGGAGAAACCCTATCTCTACTAAAAATACAAAAATAGCTGGGCATGGAGACACAGGCCTGTAATCCCAGCTACTCAGGAGGCTGAGGCAGGAGAATCACTTGAACCAGGGAGGTGGAGGTTGTGGTGAGCCGAGATCGTGCCATTGCACTCCAGCCTGGGCAACAACAGCAAAACTCCATCTCAAAAAATAGAAATCATTTGGGGATTGCTTAATTCTGATTTCATTTCATTGAACACTGCAGATGGTAAACTGTTCAGCACGCACAGTTATATAAAATTGTTCTTGTTATGTTAAGAATGAAAGAATCAAGTTGTACAAAAAGAATAACATCATCCCACTTTTGCAAAAATAGATGTTTGGTGTTTGTATATGTATATGTGTGTATCAGATTTCTTCAGCCCTCACTAGGTGAGAGGTTGTGCCTCCCAGGGCTATTACAAGGTTTCCCTGCAAGCACATTGCCTGATCAGGAGGAAACAGTCCACAGGTGTACTCTGTGCCACTGTCGCTCTATGTGCTTTTTTTAAAAAACTAAAGCTTAGAATCAAATGTTTAGTAAGAATTATCTCTGAGAAATATAATCAGGGTTGACCATGGGAAGAGAGGCATTTCTGTAATGTTTGAATTTTTTTTTTGCAATAAGCATATGTCACTTTCATAATAAAAAAATACAAGTGTTGGAATATATATATATAAATATATTCCCTTTTTTTTATTTTATGAGACAGAGTCTTGTTCTATCGCCCAGGCTGGAGTGCAGTGGCATGATCCCAGCTCACTGCAACCTCCACCTCCCTGGTTCAAATGACTTTCCTGCTTCAGTAGCTGGAATTACAAGTGCCCACCACCACACCTGGCTAATATTTCTGTATTTTTAGTAGAGACGGGGTTTTGCTATGTTGGCAAAATTGCAGGCCTTCTCCTTTCAAAAATGCCTGGGTGTGTCCTCCACATTCTGCTGCCTCTCTGAGGACTCATGTGCCTCTCCACGGGACCCCAGGGATGATGCTCCCCAGTGAATGTTCCCTGTTCCACCTGCAGTCAGATCCTCTTCAGGGAAGGTGGGTGTTAGAATGCAGATTCCAGGGCCCCACCCCAGATCTACAGAATCAGAATCTGTAGATCCAGGGTTCAAGCTGGTCTTGAACTCCTGACCTCAAATGATTTGCCAGCCTTGGCCTCCCAAAGTGCTAGGATTACAGGCCAGCCACCACACCTGGCTATATGCAGATATTTTTTAAACCTTCAGAAGAAGCCAAGCCACTGCAAAGAAAGAAATAAAAAAACCTCTAGATAAAACCACATGGCAACTAACAGTGTGGGTGGATACACTGCTTTGATACCCAAAGATCCTTCCCTGAGTCTGCTCAGAGGCTACACTACAATGCTAAACAGAGGTGGGTGCACAAACCTTACCCACCAGTCTATCCACCCCTCAATGAGGTAAAGAACAGCGGGAGGCCTCAGGGGTTGAATCACTGACACGGCTCAAGAAGTACTGAGCTCAGAACACAGAACTCCTGGCTCCCAATCACACGCTCTTCCCAGTCCACCCCGGGGAGATCAGCCAGCCTGCTCTTGGCCCTCTCTTAATCCCAGAACTTTCTTCCTCCCACAGCAGGGCCAGCTGGGGTCCTTGTTATGAGGATCCTGCCCTGGGGGCTTCTCTCACATAAGGGGTTTATTACCAAGGGAAATCTCAGGGCAGATGCCAAGCTTCCCCTAACTGAAAGATTCTGATTCTGTAGATCCAGGGTGGGGCCCTGGAATCTGCATTCTAACAGCCACCTTCCTGGAAGAGGAACTGACTGCAGATGGAACAGGGAACAAACACTGGGGAGCATCATCCCTGGGGTCCCATGGAGAGACGTGTGGTCCTCTGAGAGGCCACAGAACGTGGAGGACACACCCAGGCATATTTGAAAGGAGAAGGCCCACAGTTTCCAATAGTTCTGAAAGAGGTAAAAGATTATCACCACCTCCCATCTCCAAAAAGGCCTGATTCCCGAAGGGAGAAGCCTGGCTTTCACTCCTTGTTATCTGCTACTTGGGGACAGACACAACCAGCGCCTGGAGGAGCTGGGCACTGCTATATGCTGTTGTGCAGCTGAGGTGGAGAGAGGAGCCCACAGCTTAGCTTTAGCAAAGCCACTTCTGCCTGCTACTCCTCAGGGCCAGGTTTCATTCCTCTGTGCCTTCCCTTTTCTAGGGCTGGGGGCCACTTGTCCCCAGGGGTCCACTGAGGCTCTTTCTCCTAACAATGGGAGTGGCCCCAACAGAAGCTCATGACCAAACTGGCCCCAAAGCCCAGTCATCAAGCCATCTGTCTCAGACCTGAACTTTTAGGGTCCTCTTCTGCTGCATGGCTAAGAAAAGAAAGGTGTAGGACAGGCTGCTGGGAGATGCGGACAGTTCCCAGGCCAGGGCTGGAAAAACACTTGTGCCTCATATATGTGTAATTCTGCCAGAGCTAGGAGGATGGGATAAACCCTCCTTACAAGCTGCCCACAGCCAAGTCCACACCCACCCTCAGCGCCTTTTGCCACCTGTGTTCTCTCTGCTACCAGAGCTGCCTTTGGTATTTGTCCCAAACCAGCTGTAGGTGGTGAATGCGGGACTGGGGACTGCAGACTGATTGGCCCAGCTGTCCTGCCAGGGATGGCCCTGCCTGGCAGATTTCTAGAGGAAAGGAGTTCATGAGAATGGACTGGAGCTATTCTTGACCATCACATCCTTGGCTCAAATCTGGTACAGCCCTTCAGTCTTTCTGGGGAAGAAACCAGAGCCTACACATGTGGAGATATTAGCCTGGCCCTCCCCAGCTCCAGGCCATGCCTCCACCTCCCAGGCCAACACCTTTCCTGCACTCGTGC